GACAGTGTGACCAACTTGCATTACTGTCTTCACATCTGAAGAATCAATCACCTCTTCTGGTCATTACCGCCTGGCTTCAAGAGAAAAAGATCTTCACCAGTTAGCCCAGCTTAGGATCCTAGGGTTCTCTCAGGCCTTTCCTGTGGGTGCACCTGCTCCACCCTTCTTGTTCTTTCTTCGAGGGAAAAGTCTTAGTATTGTATGCCTTCTTTCAATCCACAAAACCAGTCTAGGTGCAGAGAAACTTCCATTTATTTTTCATGGGGCAGCGCCCTAAAGTGTTCATAGTTATGCGCCTTCGACCAGTCCTGAAGAGTAGAGCTGGTTGTCTTGGTGCCTGTCTGCAGAGGCTCCTGCTCACCCTCTGTGGATGTTGTAGGGTGTCCACTATGTGGAGTGCTGGGGGTGCACATGGTCTAGCTGGGGATTCCACAGGTGATGCTCCCTCAGAAGTTCATGGTGGGTCTCTAGGTAGAGTCTGCAAGGTGGTAGTAGAAACCATGGCCTTTTGTTGAGTTCCACGCCCCCCGTTGCTGTGAGCCTCTACCCCTTTTCCCTGCTTCTCGCCGCTTCCAAACCATTCTGCTGTGTCAATCTCCTTAGTGTTCTGGATGGAGTGAGAAAGAAGTAGCCCCTTGGACAAGTGGACACTTCTAAAACTACAGAAATACCATCATGACGTTGTTGCACTGAGAGTGTTAGATGGATAGATAGAAATACGAGGAGATAGTAATAATATTTTATGGTTAATTAATAAACTAGCTGGAGTTGGGATGCTTTCAGTTATCAACAGAGATTTACTACATGGGCTATTGTCAGATTTCAAAGTGATCCTGGTATAAGAACTAAATGTGCTTCAACTAATTTACTGAGACTATTATTGATCTGAGGCAAGAAGAGTAGGTCTTCAGTACCAGATCAACCAGATCAAAGGATAGATTATAATAAGCAACAGGTCTTTGGTGGGTACCATGTTGTTGTGTTAGTACCTCTAAAGCATATCCTAATCTTTTATAAACATACAAAAATAAAAGTTTGTGATAATCTGTGAGACTGAGATTATGGGGTTGTTAGTAATATTTTGTAATCACCAAAGGCCTTTTCTTTTCCGTGTTCCAAGGGAGTGGTTCTGAGCCATTTGGTTTAATCAAATCGTATTTGGAAAAACTGGTACCCGAGTCATTCTCTAACCACCTCATCCACAACTACCACATGCAAGCTTTGCATACTCCACAAGTGTTACATGGTTATATGTATTTTGTGTACATTAAGATTAAAAAGAAAATACTGTTAACTAATACTTCTCTGAAATAAGAAGTATTTACATATTTACATAATTTATATATGTAAATTATCATATTCATGTTGGTAATTTTTATTGCCAAGAGCATATTTTTGAGTATACACACACACACACACACATACATATATACAAATTATCTTAAAGATATTGAGACTTGATGAATAAAGCAAATTCAATATCTATGTTTAGAAGACTTGCCTGTACCATTTTTCTCAGCAATTAATTATGAGTAGTTCATGGAGTCATTTTTCAATCTGGTTTTCTCTGCACTCTATCTCAAATTCTCCAAAATGTGTGAAGTATGGATGGTACCTTTTCCAGTCTCCAGGGTTTTTGTAAGCTTGTCTCTTTTTTTGATAATATTTCTTTAGTCTATTCCAGTTTCCAAGGTTAAATGACTTCTGTGTTCATGTCATTATTTTAAAGAAAACGTTCACCTAGCTTTAAACATGCACATAACTAAGCTTTTGAAAGGCAGCTTGTGTGCAGTTCCTAGAATTTTGAAAATTACTTGGCACTTTTTTCATGGTTGGCAGTCACTTAGCATTAATAATAATTGTGTTTTTATGTGGATAGATATAAGAATTTTCATGAAATCTCCAGATTGTAAGAGCACTGAGCCTAAGAGTTCAGGGGAACTATCTTTAACAATATTTTAAAGAAGAAAGAAATAGGAAATTTTGTACGTTGGCTTTTCAAGTCTGTTTAAAGAGTGACCTTACCAAAATAACCACAAGATGGCATCAGTTTTCTATGTGAAAAGTTACAAATCGGACTGAGCATTCCTTTTCTCTTTCATTTGCATGTTGCAAGTCCTAGTTATAGCTACCTCTTGAGTTTATCATTCATGTACTATAAACCTAGTGGCATTTGTATCACATTTAAAGTCTGTAGAGGGGGAAACTGATTTAGGAATTCTATTTGTTGAACCATATTCTTGTTAGGGGAGAATGGCTCAGCTGGTTTCCTAGACATTTAAGCTGAAGTGTCAGAGTGAGAACATTCACAAATGCTCTCTAATGGAGCAAATCACATTTTGTGGAAGTGACTACTCAGGTTTGTATATGTTAGTATCAATAAAGAAATTGTACAGTTTTGAATAGGAAAAAACAAAACAAAAACCAAAAAAAAACATCGGGCCTCTTACTGCCTATCTTTATGGTATTTCCTTAGCACAAAATCAGCATGCTTTTTTCCCTTAAAACAACCGCTAAATGTCTACAATTGCTCACAAATCTGTCACTCAGAGTGCTAAATTCTATAGAAAAACATGTGTGCTTCATAAAGGATCTGTCTTTATCTAGTCTCCTCATTCTAGATCATTGATTCTAGACAATTTTATTTTATTAATCTAGTTATCTAGATTGCTCGTGTTTGTGTGGGTCTAGAATGTCAAGCAAAAAAAATTGCCATTGTTCTCTGCCAGTTTTTCTGTATCATTCTATAAAAGGAACTTGGTTTTCTTAAAATGCCTAAAAAATAAAATCCAGCCAAATAGTTTATGAGATCATCTGCTATTTTTGAGTTGGTTTCAGAGCTCAAGTGCAACTGTAACATGGCTTAGGAGCCACATGGTGTCTGATTAAACGAGTTTCCTAAGGTTCTCTCTTTCAATTTAGACAATCCTTCTGGCCTTTATTCTGAGAATAGTGTCTAATTTTTCAGGATAGGATCCTCCATACTTTAGAAAATGCCTTCTATATGAGAAAGGGAAGTGTACTAGAGAATTTAAGAATATAGTTTAGAATTTAAAATTTATCTAGTCTACATCTTAACCCATATTTGGTCTAGATAAAATTAAGCAGGTAAAGCATTATTTAGTGTTCAGTCACTTACCTTTTCTTTACCTCCTGTCACCATGTAGACTCCATTTTCCTTTCATTTCCAGTCTTTCTCAAGCTGCCCGCAAGCCCTGTTTTTCTCTCTTTTCTAAGTCCCATTCTCTCAGGTTAGCTAAACCGAGTTTGGTATAAATAACGGGAAGTTGCCCACTATTGTTTATAAAGCGTCTCTGTTTTAATTGTACTTTAGTAATATGGCTATTTGTTTCCTACATTTGATCATGAGCTCATGAGAAACAAGGACCATGTGTTTGGCACTCAGAGGACACTCTAATCTTAGTCAATAGGAGGAGACAGTAGAGGCATTAGCAGCAAAAATAAGGGACTTTCAGTTGAACTATGGGAGTATCTGACTATTTTCACTAATAAGGTGGTTCTATTTGCCTCTCCATAGCTCCAGAAATTATGTAATTAAAATATAGCAGACATAATGACTAAAGTGTACTCTCTAGATTATGTAGTGTCTGTTCAGATGCCTAACTGAGTATTCTGAGACATGAGGTATCTTTTTGTATCTTCTCATCTGCCCCATCTTAAGCTTTTTTTTCCTTTTCTTTTCTTCCTTGTTGGTAATTAAAACAGTATACTTGTTCTACCTAATTTATATAATAATCTGTTACAGAGTATTATGAAGTCACTTAGTTTTCCTTGTCTAGGTTAAAATCTAAAGATTTAATAAATTGCATCAGGTATTGAGAAGAGGCTCTGAAATTGAAACATGAATAATTAAGAAAGAAACTGAGAAAGGAATTAAAAGTGACCAGCAACAATTAACCAAAAATATACTGTTGGGAAAGGGAAAACATTGTTAAAATTCTTATAAATATTATGGTGGGGTGGTACTCTTATACTGATGGTTTCCAATGAATCATGGCTCCTGGTGTTTATGACTTTTTATGACTCTGGGTTTGGCCATGTGACTGACTGACTTGGTCCAATGACACAGCAGAAACTATGACATAAGCAGAAGGTCAATAAGTTCTCATGCATTTGGGATTTGCTTGCTTTAAAGCAAGAGAGTGCTGGTTTCCATTGACTTGGGGACACTTTCACAATGCTGATAGTAAAGCTCTTTGAGGTACTGGTTACTTTATCCTTGATCTTCATTAAATTCCTTTTTATACAATAAAATGAATTTTTTGTTTCCTGTAGAGAAGCAATGCCCAGAAAAGATGGCCTAGGAAACAGCAGAAGACAAACTGGATACTGCTTAAGGTCAAGAAAAATAGAGATTTCTTTAATAGAAGTGTTGAAATTGGGGAGGACTCACATTAGACAGAAAAGTGGTATCTTGAAGACCACACTCAACATACAAAAAGGAAAAAAAAAAAAAGACCAGATCAAAAGTTGATTGAGATATGACTTTAAAAAGGGGGAAAAAATTTAATAATTAATAGGACAGAGAGAGAATCTAAAAACATCTAACAAAAGAAATTAGAGTAATACTCCAAGAGGAGCCCAAATCCAGGAGATAACTGAGTGGTTGCAGGTGGCCTTGGAGATGTTCTCTTTATTTATATTTATTTATTTATTTTTTATGCCTACAGCACCAGGTCTTCCTAGATGGTCTCCCATCCAAGTACTAACCAGGTCTGACCCTGCTGAGCTTCCAATATCAGACGAGATCAGGCGTATTCAGGGTGGAATGGCTGTAGACTGGAGATGTTCTCTTGAAGAACAGAAGAACTGGTCAAAATAGTTAAAGAAAATCTCAATAGACTTTTAAATCGAGAACTTGGGCAATTAGCTTAGACTACTTTACATATTATTAGGTTAATTTTGAGGTGATGAAGTTCTTAGGACAAGATTCATGTATTTCCTGAGTCCTCAGGGGACCAAGAATTTCTAGAGTTAAATCGAATTTCTGGAGTTAAATCTCCTCAAAAGAAAAGCACAGGGAAGAGAAACACTGCAAGGAACCAAGGAGGACAAGAGCGATTTGGTGTGCATCCTTCCTGAACTCTCTGTCTACACACACACACACACACGCATGCACACGTGTGCACACACATATACACAGTGCAACAGTGCATCTGGATCACAATATATATATTCATATACATGCGATTGTGATGTGATGGTCCTTTTTATGTGTCAGCTTGACAATAGTGCCAGTTATTCAATCACTTACCCAGGTGTTGTGATTTTTTTTATAGATATGATTAAAGTCCATAACCAGTTGGCTTTAAGGAAGGGAGATTATCCTAGGTAACCTGGTTGTGCCTAATTCAATTATTTGAATGGTCTTAAGAGCAGAGAGAAGAGTTTTCCCTGAAGAAGAAATTCTGCAGCGGGCAGCAGCTTCTGTTTGTGCCTGACAGTTCTAGACAGTTACCTTCCTGATGGTTTGCCCTATGATTTTCAGACTTGCCTGGCCAACCCTGACAATTACATAAGCCAACTCCTGGTAATAAAGTTCTTAATATATATTTCCTACTGATTCTGTACCTCCAATTGAGCTCTCTCTAAATATGTATATTTCTGTAACTTGCTTTTTCACTAACAGTACATCTTGGGGATGACATTATATTTAACTGCTGAATAATGTCACATAATATGGATATATGGATATATTATGTCTCATCTAATTATCTTATTATTGGTGGATATTTTAATTGTTCAAATTTAAATTAGATTCAGATATATTTTCATTTTCTACTTTGAAAATTTGCTCTATTGACTTCTTGCATCCAGCATTGCCATAATAAAATCTAATATCAGTCAGATTCTTGTTCTTTGCAGATAATTATTTTTCTTCTCTGAAGACTTTTTAAGGTATTACTCTTCTCTAATACTTCATGAGAACATATCTATGGTTGTTTCTCATCTTGCTCAATTTTCAATAGTCCCTTGAAATCTGAGACACATGTTTTTTGATGTTTTTGGAAATATTCTCTTATTATTACTTTCATTATTTTTTTCCCAGTCCCATTTCTCTTCCCTTCTCTCCTTGGGAATCTCATTTGATGGATGCAAGACTTTCTGGGACTTTCTCCCAAGCTTTAACTTGTATTTCATCTCCCACCCATTCATTATGTTGCACTGTGTTTAAGGTAAGGTGGTCAGTGTGATTTTTCAGCTTATTAGCATGCTCTTCAGTTGTGTCCATTCTATCATCCAGTCCATGTACTGAGTTTTATTTTAATAATAATAATAATAATAATAATAAATGTTTTTATTTCTAAAACCTAAAATTGCTTTGTTGTAATACCTGTTCTTTTTTTACAGTTACAATGTCCTCCTGAAGATATTAATTTCATTTTTATTAAGGCTTCATTTTGTTTGCTCTGTTTAACATTTTTTCATGGGTATTCTGTCAACAAAATCTGGTACATCTCTTTTATGATAATGGTTTTCCTCACATATTTGACACTTCTTGGTCTGGGTCTTGTATTTGTCTGAGGTTTGTCTTCAAAGCCCCCGGGCAGGAGGAACGAGGTGTGTCACTGAATGAAGAATGCTAGGGTGACATCCTTCACAAAGGGCATTGCCCTGCCTCTCCAGCTTAACTGCCCACACTCACTTCCCCAGCCAGGAGGAACTGCCTCAGCTGCCTGATATTTGACAAAATGAGGGAGAGGGTCTTTGGGGCAGGAGAATGGGGGTCAGTCCATCCAGCATCCATCTTCTCTGAGTTTAAAAACTGGCAGAGCATCCAAGTTTCAGCGCAGTCCTTTCCTTTGTGTTTCTGCTGTGGCTTTTTCCTCAGCCAGTTATACCTGCTTTCTGTTTCTTAGGGGCTCCTCAAAAGTTTTTGTTTACCAATGGTATCCTCTCTTGTTTTTGAGCACTGTTATTGATTTTAATTTTTTCCCTGTAATTTCTAGGAATTTGGGATAAGAGGGAAAGTAGAAAAGTGTGATCTTGATTTTATTTCTGTACTGCTGTATCATTATTAAATATTTGGGAGGATTTAAGTTAATTTGCCAATAACTTTGGGGAAAACATATGTTTGTTTCAAGTAATAATAATTTGATAATTAAAATACTTCCTTTGATTAACAATCTGGAAATTTTATAGTACCTTCTTATAGATAGTATTATAGTTATAATACCTATTCCCTTTTTGTGAACCAAACCTAACAGAAATTCACACATAATGCCAAATTTGCAGAAAGTTACAAATGAAAGAATATCTGATGTCTTGTTATTATAGACAATGTAATAAAAGGAAACTTTAAAGAAGTGATTAAAATGTGTGGGATCAGAGGCTGAATAAAAAGCTAAGGAAGAGTAAGGTGTATGTTTATGTATATATATTGACACACTTTTATTGGGGTGCCTATTTAAGAGAAATACAATTTCTGGAGAGGTGATTAAGAATGCAAAATCACCATCAGGGAGAATGGAGTGTAAAAATCTCAAACCATTTGTTAATAAATAAAATCTAGTTTTGGGATTGTAAAAAGGGCAAGTATATTTCTGCTGTGATTTCCATTGATAATTGAACCTGTATTCCAAGACTGGTCAGGAGACTCCTAATTCTAATGTCTGTTTCTATCTAATAGCTGCTTTATCATGAGTTTCAATCCAACTTGGCCCAAGATTTCTTTGGCTCTTGGCTCCTGTTGATACTCTGCAAGTATTGGTGTTAACCACTTTTGTTGGTAGATTCCACTACTCACTCATTCCTCTTTCTCTCTCTCTCTCTCTCTCTCTCTCTCTCTCTCTCTCTCTCCCCTTTGCTTTTGGTTTTACATTAAGACTAATATTTCTACTGTACATGTTTGTTATAATAGTGGCACTTATTTGATTTTTTTAGTCACCTGAAGCTTAAAATCTATGACCTTGGGGTTGTTGGGCAACAGCATAGTATGGAAAAGTAAAAATCTTAGGTTGTTCATTAATGTCATTTTAATGACATTCCCCTAAGAACGTTTCTAGACCTCTGGAATAAGTGCCCAAAACAAGGTCATCAGTGATGTCTCAAGGGACTACTAAGTATTTGTAATTCTGTCCCTTTCTATGCTTATCATCTACATATATTAGATGTATGTTTGGGATATTATAGTCCTATTCA